TGAATATGCTTCACCAAACTTTCCCACAATCAACAACACTTCATCATGCATATGTCATGCATGACAATGCATTGCAGCCAGTTGTGGGCTTGTGGGTCCAATCTGAAAAATCTGGAAAAATCTGAAGCTCTTTGAATTATCTTTCCAAGCATATGCAGCCCAACTCAAGGAAAAATCGGAAAGCCCTTCAAATGTGATTTTTGTCCCAGTAACGCAGATGCTGCCGAATTTGACCTTAAGTTGCCAAAACATGTATAACTTTCTCTAGAAGACTCGAAATCATGAACCGTAAAATTATACAGAAACGAGACTTCCGTATCTTTCCAATGATGTATGGCTCATAATCTGGTTCTTCTTGAGCAAGTACAGTCCAATCCGTGAAGTTGACTGATCTGCAGACACCGTTTTGAGCTAATTTGTCTCCAAAATGCAATTAGTGAGTCCTTAAGTTTATTACACTGAAACAAACACAAAACTTATTAAAAGCACAAGTTTAACTAAAAAACATAACCAAATCATAAATTAGAAGGGTACAAAATGATATGTAAATATGCACCGATCAATCATGTGATCATAAATACAAGGCTCATTAGATTGTGGATTGCTGAAGGATTTGTTGAGCATGTCAAAGGGGTCACGCCTGAAGAAGTTGCAAAGAGCTATATTATGGAACTCGTTTTCCGTAACATGCTACAGGAAATGTATCGAGATTACCACCCAGCATGTAAGATGCATGATCTTTTGAGGGAGATTGCTCTGTCTATAGCAAAAAAAGAAAAGTTTTGCGCTGTACATGATGGGAGTGAAATAGTAGAAGAAACAGGGGCACTCCGTTTGTCAATTCAAACAACTAATGGAGAAATTGGATCATGCACAGGTATATCACGGCTTCGTTCGTTTCTCGTCTTTGCCACTGGCGTATCCTCATTCTCTTTCTCAAATAAATTACAATTTGACCTTAAATTGTTGAAGGTTCAAGATTTGGAGGATGTCCCCCTTGATAATCTGCCAGACAATCTAACGTCATTATTCAATTTAAAATATTTAAATTTGAGTGGAACTCCAATTAAGGAGCTTCCAGAATCCATAGGACAGCTCCGCAACCTTCAAGCGTTGAACATCAAGAGGACAAATATAGAGACACTTCCAAGAGGAATTTCCAAGTTGCTAAACTTACGCCATCTAGTTATGGACTGTATGAAAGATGGTTCAAAATTGATTGGGGTAAGAATACCATTAAGTATTAGTAAGATGAAGAAATTGCAAACTTTGGGATGCATTGAATCTGAAGGAAACATTATTAGACTTATTGGAAATATGAGCCAGCTTACGGCCCTTGCAATTTCAAATGTGAAAGAAAGAGACGAGGAGGACCTATGTGCCTCTATTCAAGAAATGAAGGTCCTTTCCCAATTGTGTTTATGGGTAGCAGATGGAGAGAAATTTCTTCGAGTTGACGCATTGCCTTCATCGCCTCCCTACCTTGATAGACTTGAATTGAGTGGCAAACTGGAAAAGTTACCAGATTGGTTTATTTCACTCCACTCTCTCACATATTTGAATCTGTCTGGGTCCAGACTTGAAGAAGATTTACTATGTCATATTGAAGCATTGCTTTCTCTACGTTTGCTTTGCCTTGATAATTCCCCTGTTAGGAAAGAGTTGTGTTTCAGTAGAGGCTTTTTGAATCTTAGATATTTGGGGGTTTTTAATTTCTCATTCTTAAATAAGGTCACTATAGAAAAAGGGGTGATGTCAAATCTCGAGTTCTTAGACATTGATGAGTGCTTGAGATTAGAGACATTGCCACAGGGTATTGAGCACCTTACTAAACTAGAAGGATACAGATTTCAGAGTGTTTCAAAGAAATTTACAGAGTCCATACAAGGAGGAGGTGTGGATCATCCAAGGATGCTACTTGTCCAAGAGAGATGTAAGAAGCCGACGTAAGTATCTTTTATGCTTCCATTGAGTTTCATAAACTTGTGTTCATGAAATCGTTCTCATTCATATCTCTGTTAATGGCTGGCTGTAAAGCTATATAAATCATCCCAAGTTAGAACCTTCGTGTGCTACTAATTGGTTTCCAGAGATTGTTGGAACCTTCGGGTCAAAAGTATTTCTCAGATGCTTTGTGAGAGCAAGAACCGTTGATATTTATATGCATTAATTCAATACAGTTCTTCCCAGCATATAATCATATTAAAACCAAATTTCCTTACTCTCTATAGACTTGTGTTTAGCCTATATGCTCTACACACTGAACATAAAAGTACACATAGTCTAAATCTTAGAGACAAATCATCGACATGTAGTTGCCCACTGCTCAAGTGAGATGCAAACTACACCCCCAAAAAAAAATTAAAATTTAAGTCGCAATTTATGAACAGAATCTTGGATATATTATTCGATTTAAAAGAAGGCAGATAAGAAGCCGAGATTAATCTTCATGCTTCACACGAGAGCAGGCTCTTCCTGGACATACTAGGTAGAAACTTCAATCCTTAGACTGGTTGTTTCTGAAAAATATACAAAAGAGACAAAAGCAATAAGGTAATTATCAAACAAAACTTCAATTCATATGTATATATATGTATTGTGTGTCTCATGAATTTCAGTTGGAAGGATTTATATGGTTTCACATGCATTAACAGAGAGGGTGAGAATGAGAACAATATTTTCTTGTTAAGTACATTTCAAATTATTAAATTTATTAAATTAATTCGATGCAAGGATAGAAGACTTGTTTATGTTTTGGACGTAAATGTTGTACCTTTGGATGAACCATAACTCCTTGTATGGACTCTATAAGTTGGTCTGAAACATTCTCAAATCCGTATCCTTCTAGTTTAGTAAGGTATTCAAAACCCTAACCCAATGCCACCACCACACAAGTGCATTATGCAATCCACTTGTTTTTGTTTTTGTTTTTGTTTTTTTTATTCGTTTACTTTTTATTCCCAGTAAAATATTGTACTACTTAATAGTAAAAAGATATTTGTACCCCAAGCAAAAATAAAATAAAATATACCATCTAAATTAAAAAAAGGATTTTTATTTGCAATCGTCCCTAAATTTGTACCCGAGTATCCTTCAATTTTGTTACGCGTGACAATTTGGTCATTTCGTCAATTTTGTAGTCAAAATAGATAGGTCATTTTATGGGTTATTTGTACACTAATTGACAGTTCTACTCTTTAAATTGACGGTCATATTAATGGAAGTACCGCTATAATACAAGTGGAGCCCATCCATACAAAGTGGTACATAATGTTATACATAAAGGTGGCATTTTCCCAATTAAAACCCCAAAGAATTTAACATTAGGATCAAATATTCAAAGACTCGGGCTAGAAACTAACAGTTGGTTAAAAGTGAAATTGTCAGACCCAACAAGGAAGTTCTGAACAATTCGCACGCACGGTCACGTGCGCTGCCTTATCTGAAAAGTACAGGTCTACAATCAAAGGCAACCCCATCTGAGAGCGAGGCGCGAAGTAAGAGCGACTCCACCCATTTGCCCTTTCCCATGGCAAGGGGGGAACTAGGGCAGGCACTATTCATGTGAATAGTATTCTTGCCCTTGCAAATAGTATTTTGTGTTTCCACCCATTGCCATGGCTAAGGGCAGTTACTATTCATTTTTTTGTCTTTTTCACAAATTTTTTTATCTCAATAATTAATTCGGATAAAATTTTCGGATTCCTACGTGTCAAGACTATTCATAATCAGATAAAATTTCCGGATAAGATTTTTGTGTTCAAAATTCAAATTTCCGATAAATTTGGGTTCAAATTTCGGATGAATTTCAAAATTCAAATTTCAGATAAATTTCAAATTTCAGATGAATTTCAAATTTCAAATTTCAGATACATTTCAAATTTCAAATTTCGGATGAATTTCAAATTTCAGATAAGATTTTCATCCAATCAAATCAAGCCACGTGGCATCTCTATCTGGCTTGGTTAGGTTTTATTTATTTATGGTTTGGTTGTGTTGTTTTTTTTTTAATTATGGTTTGGTTGTGGTTTGTTATTATTATTGTGCCTTGTTTGTAGTTTTTTATTTTATTTTTTATTATGCTTTGGTTGTGGTTTTTTCTTTAAATTATGTTTTGTTTGATGTATGGAATATGTTGAATAAAAAGGTATTTTATTGAATGCATTGTTTATTAAATAAAGAAAGCCAATACAAGTCATTAAGAATTACTACTACTAAAATAAAATACATGAATTACAAGAACTTTAATAGAAAACATGAAAAATACAAATACATAAAAGTACATAAAAGGTATGCCAACTAATTTAATGGTTTTGATCATTTAACCAATCAGTGTTGCTAGGCCCATCATCCCGGAAAAGTCTTCTTCTCATAACATCCCTTCGTTCTAGCTTCCAAAATTGTTTTGTTTCAGGGGACATATGGCTTGTATCCATTGCCATGGTTTCCCGATCCGTCTTGTCCGTCTCTTTTTTCCGCAAATACTCCCTTTCTTGTGCATATTGTGCTTGCATTGCCATCTCGTTCTCTTGGCGTTTCACCTCCATTTCAATTCTTATGGCGCTCTGCCTTGCAATTTCCTCCAAAATTTTTGATGAATTACTACTTGAATTACCCCCTTTCTTTGCCTTCGCAGCCTTTCGGCCAATGGGCCTCGGCTCCTTTTCGATGGGTGAGTCTTGACTCATAGGGGAATCAA